ACCAGTCTATAGCTACTTCAGCTTATTTATCTTTTGGACTATGTCAGTCACTTTGGTTCTCCTATGGGTATCTAAAACTACTAAGTGACAAAAATAATTTATGTTAAATAGATGGTACAAAAAAATAAAGACTAAAGCATCTGTTTCTCATGAACTGTTAGAAAGATCGTTTGACTTGATACCCAAGGATAGAAAGAGTAAGGCCATGACAGTTTAGTCACTCAGAGCCGATCGCAGTAAACGCACTAAACCGAAATGCAAATCGTCGTACATAGATGTTCATCTTAAGAATTAAGTCCATTAAAAGTTTGAAATTGCAAAGGCAAACAACAAAGGTGATCGTAAGCATCGATTGTTCTTATTCAAGCATGTCTGAAATAAACTCAATTTCGTTTTATAAACCTTAATAGTATATAAATAAGGATTAAAATGTTAAAATAGAATCTACAGCCAAGAACTTGATGGTATAGGAAACGAAGGAAGTCGACAAGGGCCCGTCTATCAAACGCACCAAGGTTAAGCTGTAGCAAAGATAAGTTTCAAGGTTCGATCATTTAGTATTTTATTGGAACAACTGAAAGCATATAAAATTTTGATCTCTTGACACATTGGGATTGATTTTGAGATGCTATTTTCGGGAAAGTACTATTTTATGGATCATTCTAGACTGTGTACAATAATTTTGACCTAAATTTATTAGAAATAGTTTATATTCGTGCTTAGAATAAAAATTTGGCTGTGATATGAAATTGAAATGTTAAATGTTTCAGATAAGTTTAAATAAATGGTGTTTCAGAATCAACCCAATTCATACATTGAAAAGATTTTAATTTGCTATGAATAATATAATTACTGTATTTAAGTAATTATCCATCGCAACAAGCAGTTTTTGTTCCGTAAAAAAACGGCAGTTTCAATTGTCGCAAAATAAATAAGAGACTAATACGGGTTATTTGCCAAAAATATTATGAAAGTTCAAAACTAATGACGTAATCACATGATGTAGTCACAACAAAAGTTCAGACGAATTAAGAACCTGTTTCTATTGTCAAAGTCGCTTATAAACGTTATCCCGCATCCCCTATAACTTCTATAACGTACCGTTAAAATACTGTTTTCGATCATACAACGTGGTGTATCGATACAAAGAGGAATCTTTATTACGGATACATTTCTTTCTGTTTTACTCTGAGCTACCGCTAGTAAAAATTAACATTGACGGAAAAATATAGATAGGTAATAGGTTATACCTATCTAGTTTTTTATTATAATCTGGAACCCATGTCCCACTGAAGACAAGGCTGTCTCCTCTTTAAATTGATACCACCTAAATGGATTTTCTTAGAAATAAAGATGATTTTTTTTTTCATTATTTAAGTATATTGCATTTCCATTAATTATAATAAGATTTTGGCATTTATATTTGGATTTAGTTATTCTATTAGTAATGATAATACTGACGAAGATACCGCTTTGGAAACAAAAAAAAAACCTTTACTTTTTAATTCTAATATCTTTTTGTTTTTACGCAATGTATGGTTCCATGTGAGCAAAACCATGGGGCAAACGCTATTAAATTAGTAATCCTACAAAATGTTAGTTTGTCGGTCATGAAAGTTACAAAAGTATTAAAAGACATTGAATATAATGTCGTCAGCCTATCGACCTCAATAGACTGTGAAAGTGTGACGTCATAAATCTATTAGGGTTGTGGGCATGACCATCGTGCCCACAATGGTGGATCCGAGGTAAGGGGAGGAATTGTTAGTAATATGAACTACCAGTCGCATTATCCCATACAATATACCCTGTTAGGTCGACCTCTCCGTGGTCCCCCCTGGAAACCATCTTGCAAAATTCCAAGTGTATTTTTTTTGATGAGTGAAAATGGTATGGTAACCCCGCACCAGCCCCCATCAGCACCAGTGAAGGGTGATAGATGAGAATGAAAACAGGCCAGTTAGCCCATCATGATAAATTCATCAGAAATTAACCATGATAATTTCCAGGCAAAACCGCGAGGAAGTCGACCTGGTTGGGTATATTGCTAGCAATGGGATTCTCAGTCTCCATTACTAACAATCCCTTTCACCCCAATTCCAAGTGTATTTTTTTGAATGGGTGATAATGGAATAACCTGCGCTATCGGTATACACCAGCAGGGCACCAGTGAAGGATGATAGATGAGGATAAAGCAGGTCAGTTAGCCCATCGTGACGAATTTAACAAGAATTGTTCACGATGGTTCCCAGGGGGAACCACGTGGAGGTCGACCTGATAGGGCTATTGCTAGCAATCCCTTTCCCCCCAATTCCAAGTGTATTCAACATGATAGTATAACTTACCTGCCTTTACATCCTCACTTATCATCCCTCACTAGTGCCCCGCCAGTATATGCAGACGGGGTTAACATTGCATTATCATGCATTAAAAAAAAACGGTGGACGCTTGATTTTAATGAGAATACGAGTAACAGTATTTATCGAATTTTCGTAACTTGTAACATAAGGTCGGGGGTCGTTCGGGTCTTCGGAACCGGTCAGAGAGCGGTCATTATAATTCGTACCTACATTGTAACACCGTTTTAGTAATTAGTAATAGTTAGTGAGCATTAGGTGAGCGGTATTAGTAAATTGATATTGCTTAATGCAAAACATCAGTTGAATCAGTAGATATTGTATTAGTTCTTTAAATGAAATACATATGTCTCGCTGTATAAAAAAAAAGAAGGCTCTATTTTATCTATGGTCTCACGTTTAGCACAATGCTTAAACTAATGACTAGTTGTTTCCCGTGGCTGTCCCCGTGATTAAGTTATATATAAAGATTTATGTATTAGCTTGGCATATGATCTCCAGTCAGTTGGTGAAATATAATTGAGTAAAAGAGCTACAAAGAGGTACATTTATAATATTAATTAAATATAGTATCCATATATAATTATAATAGATGATTAGCGAAATAAGTATCTTTTTTATACCATTTATCTATTGAAATATTTTTTTTTTCACATATATGATCCTTAAAGGACTTTGTGTGAAGATAGAATAAATGCCCTTCAATGATATGATGTATATGATGTATGAATCTATGAATAAATTCTGTTTTTTGTTTTTTCCTATATTCTATTTATGTGGTGGACGGTTTAAAAATATATTTTGTTCACTACTCCATTTTATCCCCATGATATTATAAGAGAAAACTAAAGGTCCTTTAAGGAACCAAATGCAACGCACTTTTTTTGGATTTGTCTTATGTTAGAGAATATTTTATTATATTATATTTATGTTCTTTCAATGTAACCTAATAACCACCAAACTTTAACAAAAAAATCCTTACTAATATTAAACATATGAAAGTAAATGTGTTTGTTACCTTTTAGCACTTTAACAGCTTAACAAACCAAGTAATATAAGGGATCCCAGTCAATGAAAATGTCCTGGCCACACAGACGAAGTCGTGGATAAAAGTTAGTTGGTTATACAGAAAAGAAAAAATACAATACATAATACGCCATGTGTGCCCCGGCATAGAATGGGCTGGCCCGACCTTTCCCGTGGGTATCGTAAGAGGGATAGGCAGCAGCGTCCCTCTTAAAACATCTCTAAAAGCCTAATTGCGGTTGCCAACCCGCCTGCCAAGCGTGGCAACGGCTGGCAGAACTCCCCTTATGGAACTGTAGACAGCTGAAATGGACAGTTAACGACTGAAATAATAATAATAACAACACAATTAATTTAATACAAGGATATACATTTATTCTTCCTTTATGGAAAACCTACAGTTGTCCATAACTATGGACTATCTTTACAATGACTAACAGTTACCGGTGGCTGATAATTTGTACTAATAATATTGCCAGTGAATCATTATGCATTGACTCATATAGACACGTACAAAACAATTCCTTTGCCTATAGTATGGGGCAGACAAGAAAATCGAAATACTTATGTACAAGATAAGGGTTTATCTGTTTACTAAAATTTGATTTAACACAATGAAAATGTTTATTTATAATATCTATGTATAATATCAATATAGTAAAGCGACTGAGATTGTATGTCTTTAAATTTTTATATACTTATAGCTTTTGCCCGCAGTTTCACTTGCTCCCATACGGACTTTCATCTCCTGTTTCACCCCTTTAAGGATATTTTTTTCAAAAGTCAATAAATATATTATTTTTTGCTTTGACCAAGAGTCTAAATTTTAAATTCTAAACTGACGTAATTATATACAAAATATACACGACGTGACATGTGATATTCGAAATAAACGTAGATATTTTTAAAAATTAAAACTTGGACTACTTACTTATAATTTTTTTTATATCCACTTCGTGCATTATCTACGATTACTTAGTCACCACACTGTAAATCATACGAAACGATCCAGTTTTCTTAACTAGTGTTCAATAAAACTATTATCTAGGTCAAGATTGTTAAACACTTTATTAACTACATCCTTAATTACTTGTATGGTTTCGATAAATTTAGAAGAGTTGAGTTGACTTATAGACGTTTTAAGTTATTTTTTATGGTATATAAAACGAGGGGAGACAAACAAAATCACAGTCGATGAATGAATACCCTTGCACTCGACTATGCACAATGGTTCTGCAACGGTTTTTAACATCTGCCCGTGAATGCTAGATTGATGGAGTCATACAATTATTATATATTATTTGCTACAGACGTAGTGTATCATTAAGAACTGATAATTTTATTGTAGATCCTTTATTTTTATCCTTTTACGCTACTGAATTTTAAATTATCATAAATCATTGTATCAAACTCCCATGACGATAAACAAAAAATAAACGTAGGTACAAATAATGACCTTAGAAGCCGTGGTGGTCACGCATCGTCACCTCCCAAACTATAGTCTTTATAATGTACCAAGAAATTACGTCATTTGTCTAGTGATCATTAAACTTATAGTGTTAAGTACGTTTTTGTTCCCACGAGTCATTTACCTATCAATTCATTGTTCTTTTGCAGGATGTCGAACTTCCAACGAACGCGCAGCAAAGTTTGGTGGGAAGACTCGCAACCTAACATCGGAAATATTGGCAGTCCAGTTGCACAACCTGCTTGGAAACAAAACAATAGATTAGAAGAACAGGAGTGGGAACCGCAGCTACCTCACTGGATAGCCAATCAGCCCGAACAACAAAGGAACAATAGTGCAGATAACATTGCGCAGCCGAACAATGCACAGATAAACCAATGGCCACTGCGTCACGGAAGCCCCGGAAGTCATAAAAGTCAAGACTCCGGTTTCTCAGATTCAGATAGCTCTCCACCACCTTCACAGTATTATCAATCTCCTGATAACAATGATTCCAAAAACAAATCATCAAGTAGCGCTGACTCAAATAATAATCAAAATATAACAGTAAAACAAGTCATTCCAAATACACCGCAAGGAAAGGATGTAGTTGATAATGTTAAAATGCCTAGCAAGACTGTCACTCCTACGCCAATGCCTCGTAACAGAAGTAGTAGTGTCATACAAACTCCGTACGATTTACAGAAATATTATGAGATTCATCGAGATGAGGAACATATGGAATTGTTAAAAGATAAAGATACTGATAATTTGAATACATCACAAAAACATTCCACAATAAATAAAATAAATAATGAAAAGTCTAATGTGGATAAAAATTTAAAACCCATTTTACCTAAAATTGATAATGCTAAATGTAATGTCAAAACAGAAAATAATATAGAGAAAAAAGTCACATCACCTAACAATAAAAGTAATAAAGAAAATACGCCCAACAAAAGTGCAATACATAATGATACCAAAGATGTTCCTGTTAAAAATATAAGCGTCATAAGTCCATCCAAAAAATATCCAGTTAAATCATTTATATCGAGCACACAAAGCGACAGTACCAAATTAAGTAAAGTAGCAAAAGTTAAAGATTTAGAAACTGGTAAGAATAAGTTAGACGAAAGTCTAGAATACATCAAATTGTCAGATAATAATGAAATAGCTGTTAATAACCAACCACGAGTACGAACACCTATATCTAATGTTTCATACATTCCAACTGAAAGAATATCTAACACTAGATCCGATTATAATAGAAGCATATCAAATGAATATAATGTTTCAATTACAACTACACCGAAATTTCAAAGAAATCGTTTGAATAAATCATTGAACTTTGAAGCACAGCGGCTTGATCAACAAATACTGGACATACAAGATGGTTACCATTCACTGGGATACATCGATGAAGATGAACTATGTACAGAGGAAAGTCAATATAGTCACAGTGAAATACATAAACCCAGTAAAGCTATACTCGGTAAAAATATTATGGATAGTCTTAATTTAAAACCTACTAAGAAAGCGGGTCCAAAAGCAAAACAGCGCATGGGAACGAAGGCAGATAAAGCTAAAGATCTGTTTAGACTTTTAGGAAAGAAAGAGAAACCAAGTGTTGTTGAGGAAAATGCGGGTGGCATTTTAGATGGAAGTCGAGTACCTTCCCTGGGACTTCCACGATCTTATGAGCAAAACTCTTGGGTTGTAGTTGGATACCCTGAAAAGGAAATGTTAATACCTCATTATAATGAAAGATTTGTGGGTATAGAAAGCGATAATGAGTTAAGAGCTAAAGATGGTTGTCAAGATGACGTAAACGGATTTAAAAATAGAAGAGTTACACCACCACCACAATTTCAGGATAAACAGAAGACCCCATATGAGACCGACTCTAAAAACGATAAAGATTTAACGCATGATTCTAAAAGAGAAAAGTTAAAAGATGATCTAAATTTTGACGATGTCCAATTAAATTTAGCATGTACGTCAACACCAAAAATGTTAGCACCTCATGAGTTTATGAATAGCCAGATTCCAAAGAGCATTAAGAAAAATGCTCCTAGGGTAAATTTATTTGCTGATGAAAAGAGCGGGTGAGTGTAATAAATAAAATTGCTGCACTAGTTGATTTTATATAATACAATCATGTTTGAATTCTGAAAATTTTTTCGTAACTGATAATTAGTAGTATGTTATTTTTTGCAGGTTGGTATTAAATAATCAGAATGAGATACTGTACAGAGAAAGGAGTATAGACCAAACTACACTGGAGAGACTCTGCGATAGAAAGCCTGAACCAGTCCAATATTGGCTTTGTGATCTGGTGGGATCGAGTGAAAACGAATGCATGACAACACTTCAAAGTAAACCTTTAGGCGCCGAAATGAAGGCTATGGTATCTGCCAGCTCAGCTACCATCACTGGCAACATCAAGAAAGTGCAAACACATGGACAAATAATTGTTCATCAGTACAGTGACGTCATCAGGTAAAACTCATATAGATTTCCAATAGATAGTTATCAAAGAATTATAATAATATAATACATAATATCTCTTTAGCATATTAGTGTAATGAATACTGAAATCTTGAACAGTTTCCCTCATAAAAATAGTGTTCCTAAATCTCCCTATGCAAATCGTTTACTAAATTCGGACACTTTTGAGATCACCATTAGTTTTTGAAGGTAAGACAAGCAAAAAATGTTCTCGAGTGGCAACACTAAAGAACATTTCCTGCTGATCACGATTATTCGTTCAAGCTAAGAATGCCGTTTCATTTTCCTAAACGAATCCTTTCTTCTTGATACATTATGGATACGAAACATTCTCATTTCGAATACTTAATGCTTCAACTCCGAGCATTAAGAAAAACTGAACTCTAGCTCTCTAAAGTCCACTGAGCAACTTATAGTTTTCTCATACAAGAAATATGAGATATAATGATAGATATATGACAGGAAGGAATACATAACATCCTGTGGTTTCTTTTAATCTCAATGTAAAAAAACACAATTTTTAATAATTATTAATTATAGTAAATTTATTATAAGAAATAATTATAATTAATGATTTCAACACTTACATTATTTATGTTTAGAAATTAACGAGTACTTTCAAATTTAAGTTCAATGATAGATATTAAATTTCAATTTTTGTGCATAATATTTTTAATGAATAGCAGTCAATCCCAATAACCTTTGCTGGATTACATACTTCCATACGAATATTTTGAAACGTTGCACAACCTTAATAAACGTGACGGGTTTATGTAAATTAGATAAAAGCATTCAGCGATCTCTGCTAATAAATTAATGCATTTCATAATTGCAGGCAAATAGAATCGGACAAGCCGAGCGAAGAGCAAATCTGTTTACTTGTGGCTAATATCAACGAGTTTGTATTAGCACACAGCATCACATTAAATACTAAGCCTCCAGGGGAGACGCCAGAGCGATGGGACAAAATTAAGAAGTCTCTAGAACTTTATCTCAGGAAGTTAATTGACATAGGCGAAGACGTTAAGATAGAACTGAATGAGAGTCATCCTGAGTGGAATTTGGTTCAGAGACATTTGGATACTTTGATTGGGATCTTTATGGAGACGGCCAAAGCTGTTTTGGTTCAACAGATGAAGGTAAATGTTGGCATAAAAATTATAATGTACTTAAACAAATATGTTAACTACTTACTTTAAACGTAGATTGCATTCTGCGTAACAGTCAGTAAGCATACACTGTTAACGAATTTTATCATAAATTTAAATCTACTCAAGTTTTTATGTTAGTCAAAATATGTAGTTGGTCACGGAATCTTTTTTAATAATATATATCGCTGTTAGTATTTTTATCTTCTGTAATCTATCTCAAATATCATATTCACTGTAACAATAAATGTAATAGATATAGTATTGTGAAAATGATTGCAAACATTCATCATATTTTCAATTTTTTTGTAACTTCTCCGCCCACAAACACATGTCCACCTACACTCATTTATTTTATATGAGCTATACATAAGCTCGTCAGATTCAAATCATGGAGCAAGTATGAACAAACATAAAATATGTACTATGGATTATATATAGTATAAAATAATCAAGAACCTAATTGCAAACCGCCTGTATAACGGATTGTTTTATTCTGAAGAACTTTCAACTCACACCTTTCACCATCGCAATGCTCATCATCGGCTGAGAATCTATCCTCACACTTTAGAAAAGAAGGGTGGTTGCGTGAATTTCAGAGCAGCTTTCTTCAACGCTTAGGTTGTAGAATGATCTTTCTGTAAAGGCTTGCCCTAGAGACTACAGCATGGGCTTCTTCGAAGAGAGCGTATTAAGGTATCTCAAAGGTCGGCAACGCGCGCGTGACATCTCTGGTGTTACAGGCATTCATAGACTACACGGTAACCCCGTTTACCATCAGACGAGCCGTATGCTTGTTTGCCACCATAGTAGTATAGAGAAAAAAAAGAATAATGAAATTGTATTATCCTTACTACTTACTGACGTTATAAATGTGAAAGTGTGTTTGTTTGTTTGGTTTAATGAATCGTTATGTAATTTGGTATTACATATACTATTATGGGCGGAAAAGGATATTTTTAAAAGGCTATTTTTTATCTCAATCAGAGAACATATCCCGGTCACATTAACACAATAACGGATTGAGTTGACAACAAAAACTAAAATCATTAATAAACAAATGCATTTTTCCACAGACTTTAGTGTCGATAATCGAAGAGCCACCGTCTGACATGATCCTTAAGAGCACACTGACCTCTATAGGACACTTGGCGATGCTAAGCGACAGCACAGAGAGTTCACTCCACGAGAGGTGTGCTAAAATAATCAAGAATATAACGGACCTGCCATTTGTTGACTGCGGGGTGCCCAGGGCCTTACTCACTGCTATTATTGAGAGCAACAAGAGTTCCATTAAAGCGTTATCCTTGAGGGCACTGGCTACTGTATGTGTTACAGCCGATGCTGTCAAGCAATTTGAAGAGGTAAGTTAATGTAGGCTGCAGTTTAAATATTAAAAGGAACAATTTTATAAAACTGTGTCTAAAGGCGTATTAGATTTTGTATGACCTTCTACCAATATGTGATATGTATACGTTACATTCTATTAATGCCCCACTGCTGGACACAGGTGGACTCCTTATTTAAGAAAGAAAGGTCTACTATTACCATGTCAGTGTCAGGGTATTTTTAATGGGTACGGCAACCTCGCCTACAATGTGAGTATACTTTGGCGGGGCATCAGTGATACATGATAGGTGAGGATGAAAACAGGTCAATCCCATTATGACGAATTTCAGGACTAAGAACAATGATTTCCTGGGGGTGCCGCGTGGATCTTGACCTGATTTAAAAATTTTATTGCTAGCAAGCATTGCTAGGGGTTCAAAAAATACCCCATTACAATATCCCTTTGTTCCCTAGTCTCAGGGTATAACATATTGATTTTTAATTTGGCTTTTTTTCTGAACCTATTGCTTTATTCTAGTCACCTCTAAAAATGTCCTGAGGAAGAAAAGAAATGGTGACAATTATATATTTTTATTCCGATGTCGTCAAAAAGAATAATAAATATTAAATTTATTCAGTGTGTGACATAAAGTCACATAACAACTGAATAGATAAGTAGATTTCTTAAACAAAAACAAATAACTGTAGAGTTAATTCAAGTTGATAAGTTTGAGTTTTCAACTTTTTTTTTTAATGATAATTATTTTAAACAATTTAAAAAAAATCTTTTATAGGTATAGTATTAAAATAGTTTATAGAAAATAGGTTACATATTTTTGTACTTAGTGTAAGTTTTAATTAAATACTTATTTCAGGGCGGTGGTATAGAAATTCTATCAGATATCCTTTCTGATAGATCAAACCCGGAGCCTCAGATGCGCGAGGCGATTACAGTGCTCACACAGATCACGGCGCCATGGCTCAGGGGCCATTACGATCTCACGCAGCTCCACGTGTATTTAGACACCATAGTCAACAATATTACTGGTGAGTTAGTTGTATGACATTGTAAAATTTATGAACGATTTAATAAAAAAAAAATTAAAAAAATAACCTTAAGATCGTTTATACCTCTAGTGCCATCTATAGGAGAATAGTTAAATTACAATTAGAAATGCAGCTTCTATATTACGAACACTATAAACTGTTTAACAATAAAATTATTTTTGTTAGTAAAAACTTTATATCTTCTAGATTAGAAATGATATAACTTTTATATAAATCGTAGATAACTTTAAGTAAAAAATTACACAATAAAATTTAAGATTAAACAGCTATTTTTAACTTTGTGTTTAATAGTTTTGTTGCCATCTATCGGTAGATAGTTTAACTATTATTTTATTTTCACTACTAAAATTAATATTTCCTATATCAAATTAATTCAATAAAAATTCTATTGTCAATCGATTCTAAATACGAAAAGTATTTTACAGGAATATAATTGTATACTACTTATGGTATTCATAATGTCAATGAGTTGTTAGTGCAGCACCATTGAGCCATAATGTTAAAATGAATTGAGCCATATTGATATATAAGAAGACCCGCGTATTATTCGAATAATCTTGACTAGAATTTTCATTTATTAACTGAAACAATTGAGTTAGCATTTTTTTATGAATAATTAAGTCTGTACTGCGGCATAATAATAACGGATTTAATTTATATGTTTCTTATACATTCTGGAGCAAAGTTTATTTGTAAATTTATATAGTAACTTCAATCCCAGGATTCAATACTGGACATGTTGAATTATTATGAATAATTATAATATTAAAAAAATATGTTCCTAATTATTAAGAAAAAAATATTGTTTTCTACGGGGCACCACATAGTTTAATCATATACCTTAAAAATTATTGCACAATTATTAAATATAATTTAAGGATCGGTATCAAGGTTTGAATATTAAATAATAACTCGAAATTTCTAAATTAGTAACTTTTATTTATGTATAATCATCATCTTCCTACCCTTATCTCAATTTATTATTTGGGGTTGGTGTAAAATGGTTTTATTCATATTACAAAAGGATTTGGCTTATAGTTTTACGACCGGTCGCCTGCCTGACGTCAACCCTCTTTGGGAATGTATTTATTGGTGGATTCCGCCACCAACGACTTGAAGGAAAGGATTAAAAAAAAAAAGGAAGGGAACATTGGAAATACGTAAAGGAAATTAGTAAATGAGAGGAATAAGGAACTTATGTGGAAAAGGAAAGGGGGCACATTGCAGTGGCTCGGGGGGCCGGGTCGTATATCCGTATGCCCTTATTTTAGAATCGGACAGATAATTTTATGTATAATAATTAATAATTATTGTATTTTTAGGTATTCTGACCCGTACCGAATGCTGTCAGTTACTGCTACTCTGCACGGCGTGCCTCGTCAACCTAGTTCGAGAATTGGAACTAGAGAAGAAAGAAGATGACGACACCGACAAATCCGATATAGTGGAAGTATTAACAAAGCACCGTACTGTGGAGCGAGTATTGGACGCTGTGAAGCGACGAGGACCGAACATCTCTGTATTTTTACAGGTAAAAAATATTGTGTACAATTCAAATATGAATTACAATAAAATAGGCAAACAAAAAATATTAAAGAAAACTGAAATACAGTATATATAGGCCAATTGTTGTAATTTGTTATGTGTGCCTTATTAAATAAAATAAGTAAATAAATAAATTGCATGGCACGACATGTTGCAAAACAGCGCGTAATGTTGCCAGCGTGCTATAATTTGCTCAACATATTGCAAATCCTTGCTCAACGTTACGCGTTATTTGAACAACAAACACACAAGGCAAGCAATATTCAAGACAACAGGAGTTTTATATTATTATATAGAGAAATAAAAGAAAGTCATGTGAGGTAGCGGTTGTATTTTTTTGTTTCATACCTCATAACTCCGTCATTTATAAACCGATTTAGATAATACTTTTTTTTCTAAAAGAATGTGCTTTTAGATTAGTTCCACAAAAATTTTAATTTAAAAATAAAACAAACTAGTTTTTTTTACTATGTCGTCGGCTTTTTTTTTAACATAATCTAAAATTATACAAAATTGTAGTAATCATAAGGCAGTGTCTAATAAGTAAAAATTAATACCTACAATGAACAGTAGTATTTATGTAAATTATTCTACAATTTCATACTCATTGTACAGGAGCAAACAGCGTCCTTCCTGGCGTCACTGTCTCGCATCCCGCGGTGCATGCTGTCGCTATCACAGCTGGCGGCGGCGGCGCTGGTACGGTTCGCGCGTTGCCCGCCTGCGCCCGCGCACGCGCCACGTGACGCAGAGCTGCGTGCGCAGGCGCGGCTGCACTGCCATGCCGCCGAGGCCATGTCTAGGTAGGTTTTTTTAAAATGATAATAGTAACCTAACCTGCGCTATCGGTATAGGTGTGGCCCTAGCACATAAATGACGCTATCATCTTACCTACTTTTCTATCTCCAATTTATCATTTTAAATATATTATATTTCTAAAGTATATACTTGCTGTGTAGGATCTATGCTATGATATTATTAAAAAGCCTATATAACCACAATTAAAATCTGCTACAAACCAATCAACATGGCCTTATTTCTGTTGGACATTTGAAATTTTACATTGGTTATCAAGAATTGTGTGTGATAGTCATAGTGTAATCTGTAGTTCATATCTATAGGGGGGATAGTTACCACTTTGCCTCAAATGGACCTTTAGTTTATCATTCTATTTCTATATTATACTAATAAAAATTACAAAAGTATTAACAATTTTATTTTATTGCAGGCTATCAGTGGTCCCAGAAGTGGCCCAACAAATAGTCCAGCTAGAGGGCGTTCCGCATCTTACCCGGCTGGTTAGAATGCAGCGAACACGCCCTGGTCACCTGGATGTCAACCCGGATCAGATCCTGATACATTGCCTCAAGGCACTGAGGACTATCCACAAATACTACCCTGAGGCCTTTGAAGGATATCAAAAAGACGTAGACGAAATGATCCGACCACATCTCATGGAATCCCTCATGCTCTTCTCTGCTAAGCAAGAAAGTTACGTTTAAATCATTACAATTATTTCTAAATTTGAGAAATACCAAAAAGTTTAAATATAATGTAACTACTTATATAACCTCTTGACCTTTATCTTGCATAGATATACTCGTATGCAAAAAAGTGTAATAAAATTGCTCTTGAATAATTCTTAGATATATAATTGGAAAGTATTATAAAAAAGACTGGACAGATGGCGAATTTACTTGTACATAATCTCTAAAAATTGACGTAGACTAAATTGTCATGATTTAAATTACTTTTGGATACAAACATTTTTTAAAATCAAACTGTAATTGTATTTTTTTTTTTTGTTTTTTGCCAATTATCTATGTAACAATAGATGCTTTCATTACTAATTCTTGGGTAATATTATTTACCATAATCTGATTGCCATAAAATCCTTTTTTAAATTATGTAGTACTAATAAAATTGTATAAAATTATTACAGCTAAACTATTTGCTATGTAAATACGCTTTACAACTCAGGTAATGTTGACACTGGGGCCGACTCTGAGGCACATTTCTTTAACCTATTTCTGAACGTTACATTTTAATTTATAATTTCACGAAATTATTGTTTTTTGAACCACCGTAAACTAATATTATAATAATTTTGACCTTAATCAATTAAAAAATTAGTTTATACTGGTTGTTAAAGATGTCACTGTAATATTAAATTGAAATTTTATATTTACAAATAGGTTCAGAGAAATGGCACCACAGAATCGACCCCACTGGTACATAATTTATTTTATGTTAAATTAACGAGAGTTCTAGAATTAGCTCTACACTTCAGAGGCCATACTTGTTGACTAGTCTTCAAATTACTTTGCTGTAGGCGACGTCTATTTTTGATTAGATATAAAATCACTGTGCTATTTAAGTGATCGTTGTAAATACTTTCTAGGACACCTATTAGTTTAGAACAGAATTATATCCCATATTTAGCTGTTATAAATAAAAATATTCAAGAAGATCACCATAACACATGTATTATAAATAAATATTGTGTTCTTAAGTCTCTAATGTGAATTGTAGAACAATTGCGAGTACACTGATAAATCCGTTAGAGGCGCCATTAAATTATTCAATACAAATTGTCGACGTAAACGCTCTTGCAGTACTGACTTAAATCATTGTAAACTCGTATATTATTTAAATTATTTCATTTATCTCTGTATTAAAATGACTGCTGAAAAGTATACTCTGATTTTTTCAAGAAAAATGAAGTTGTTGTATATAAATAGAGTAGAATCATTAAACGGAGATAGATATTTATTTATATATATATATCCAACTCTCATTATCCATGTAATATCTACTACAATCGATATTTTTAAACCATACTATAATTATGTATTTCTCTTTTAATACATTTATTATTTCTTTTATATATATCATTTATCTGTCAAATATATACTCATCTACTTAATACTTATTTAAGGGTATATTATCGATACCACCATGTTTAGTTTTAACCACTTTGTATACTTTAGTTATATACCTTGTATACTTTACACAAACACTGTAAAGAAATTATGATATAGGCGAGCAGTCCTCATATTGTTATCTGTTTATAAAATAAAGTATATATTCAACATTACAAAATATTTGTTTGATTTTAAAGCTATCTTCCTCTTAATTAACATATTTGATATATTATGAACACTTAAAGGAAAATGTGCAATTTTAAATTTTTTTATCATGTGACTGAACTAATAATTTCATAAATTCATTCAGTTGAATGAATGAATCCAATTATTGAAAATGAATACTTAACAACTTAAATGATGTATTAATGATAAGTGAAGATCCTGAGTGATGGCAAATGGCGTAGTGTAATCATGTAACAATCTAAGTATAATCACTGTTGCTACATAAATTTAGATCATTTTTTGAGGAAGCTTTAAGACAAAGTGTTGTATGAACAAAGCCTAAGCTATTTTACATGTTTATTATAATTAAAGTTGAGTAGTAAAATTCCCAATTAAAATTAAAACACTTCACGAAGACATCATAATATGAAGGCACTTCCGTTTCAGTAAAGCAAAACAAATGCTTTTAATAATATACATATAAAAAATCAACTATGATTTTTTTCTACTATACCATTATCTCTTTTCCAAACTAGTAACAGTAAAACAGTGTGGTTAAATTCGTTAAAGTATATTTAGTCACAGGATACAAAAATTTTTTACAATACAATTTTGGTATATACCTGCTTGTCTTACAAACTAAACAAAACTGCTATATGTCATTTCATCCATATGATTGCTTAACATTTTTAGAATGCACAATATCAACAGTAGTTTCGTGGCACTGTCTTAAATCCATATCATACATACCAAGGCAAAATTTGTTCTCAGGCGCTTTAAAGAAATCTAAACCTCTTCCTATTTTTATTATCCAACCAGAACTTAGACTGTAAATAATAAATAAGCACTACATGGATGATCAAGAAATCATTAACAATAGAAATAAAAAACCATGAGTCCAAAAATATCCAAAATTTTAACAAGATATATCAAATTAGTGTAAAAAAATATATAACATAGTTAAGAAAGTAGACAATGTCTATTGTACAAAAATTAGTAGAAATAAAAGAGAAAGTTTTCAGCCTTTAAAAATCGCACAATAACTTTTAAAGAGAGAGGTCAAGTTAGAATTAAATTAAAAAAATCCCCCCTCTTAAGTAATTAATGGATATCTCCAAAAAGTAATACCCTAATACTTACGTGATTTGTCTATCATGAAGAGTTTCAGAGTATTTGACAATAAGCTTAACTCTATACCTTAAAAGGTCATTAGCTAAATTACTGAACCACTGCCTTTGATCAGTCTCAGATTTGCTATCCTTGGATGTCAATAATTCTATATGCCTCAAATTTGAGCATGATCTCACCAACAACTCACATAAACGAAGGAAATTTTGACACTAGAAACAAAATTGTTAAATTATATATTAACATTATAACAGATAATAATCTGATTTTGATTATGTATAATAATATTATAAAGAAGAAAGATTTGTTTGTTTTTAATGGATAAATTCAAAACTACTTAACTGATTTTTAAAAAATCTTTTACCTATAGAAAACTCAATTGTTTCTCTGAGAAAACTCAACAGCGAGGCCTAGTCACTAGTTTCAAATAACCTGACAACTGAAACTGTATTAGTATGTAAAGATTCTGCATGCATCTGTTACACAACATGCAATGCTATTAAACTTTACTCTAGATAAATGAACTATAATAATATATAAAATGACATACTTAATCCCTCAGAGCACTATATTATTTTAGAGAGATACGAGTGATAAATTTAACTAACTTCACCTCAGAATCTCACATCACACAATTTAAATAATTGTATATAGTGAAATTTTAAAAGAATGTTGAAAGTTATGGAATAAACTCCCAGCTAATGTGCACAGCCTATATATGTGTGTTTGCCAGGTTTGTGAAATAAAAAATTGTTAGGAACCACAATAGTAATAGAGATAACTTGAAATTGTCATCTATAACAGTTGACACAAAATACAGACCTGATGGAAACTCCTAATATAAGGGTCCTCCACAACAACATAATGAACCTCGTCATCAAGGAACCTACCAAACAGTGTCTTATAACTGTGACCAGTTGAATTATTCTCTATATGCACTTGTTCATGAAACTGGCCCGCTTCCTTCTGCTGTAATATGAGTTTCTTTATTGCTTCTGCTCTGTTCATATATTCCTCTACTTTCTTTCTCAGATAACTCCTAACAGATTCATCATTTTCACCTATAAAGAATTCACAGTTTAATTCAGACATTTATAAATTATTACTATTATTTTTTATACATTCTTTTGACACTTAGTTAAAATACAAACTTTTTATTTTATCTACCAGTATTTGAAGACCTTCTTGATAACAAACTAGAGCCTCAGTGTAACGTTTCTTCGTGTCTAACTCCACACCTCTTTTAATTATATTTATTGCAGCACTTTCAATATTCATTTTTAAAGACAATAAATTTATTATAATTACAAATTAGTTTATAAAGATGTGAAAAGAAATAAATAAATAAAGATTTATATTATAGATGTTATAGTTTGTTCCATTAACAACGGCTGTCAAATCTTGACAAAAAAATTATTTTGACAAGATTGAACAAAACTGCACAGATAGGTAGCAACAGGTAATGACCTAATTTAAAAAATTGATGAAATATTCGTGCAAAAGGAATACAGTCGTATCAGTGAACAAAGATAGCTATTTTACAAAGATAGCTATTTACTTTATCAGTATACTAGATGTTATCACGAAATAAACGTAATGGCTAGTTTATAATTTATTATAGTATTTAAAAATCACTGATAATGATAGCATTTCTATTTGTTTTTAGTTTCTTTTTATAAAATAACAATTCAAATAAGTGATTAAAAAAAACCAATTCGTAGGACATGTAAACGTCAAAATATCGATATAATACTCAACAACGGTATCTATAAACACGCGTAAACAAAATCATGCAATGGAAATGACATATAACCTAAATTTTTTATTTACACATTTTCTTTTAAAAATAAAAATAAAAATCCCTAAATATACTTATATCTAATATGTATAAAAATTGTTAATATAGCTGTATATAAAGAATCAAAAACTAGCAATGTCTCACCAATTAGGGAGAGTCGTTTCAGAGATCTTACATCGATATTTTGGTGAAATTGTTCAACAAGTTGGTAAAGATCTATTTACGTATGGTAGTAAACCTATTTCTATGATTGTGAAGACTACAGGACTTCCTCGCGCACAGGTACGTACTTATCTTCTAGTTTTTTTAAGCCTTTCATTGACCGATTATTTCTTTTTAATGTTCTATAAAATAAAATGGTTAATCATATTTTAAATATAATGTACACTTTTTTCAGGTTGTGGAAAGTCTACGGACATTATTAAAATTTCATCTGGCTACATTTGAACCCTCATCTAATGAAGTTAATGCAGATTATAAACTTATCCCTGATAATGTTCTTCTGTTGATTAGATATCCAAGGTATAGGAACGTCTTTTTAATACATTCATGAAATATTTTTTTTATGTGTCTATGTACAATATGTTTACAATATATAAAATCATAGTCAAGCCAATTCTTTAATACATTTTCTCTGATTAATTTAAAAAAATTCCTATATCATCCATGTGATGGATTTTTGTATTTTCCCATAGGCATAAGGTATTTTGCCACACTAAAAAGTATTCTACATGTTGATTAAAAAGTATTCTTCATGTTAAATTATTACCACAAAAATATTAATCAAAATTTGTCCTGTATTTTTTATGTAATTTATGCACAGACAGTTAAGTTACTTTATGTATATAGGTAGCAATAATCAAACTGCATTCATGTAAGTCATTAACAATATTTGCCACAGATATCTACTTCAGATGAAAAGTAAATATGGTAGTGAAGCAGAGCTTCTGATAGAAGAATTGCTTCAGCAGGCAACCTGTAGTGCCACTATACTTTTAGTTACCATAGCAAAGAAATATAAAGATGATGAGGCAAGTACCAAATTTAGAATTTTATGAAAACAAGTTTGCTTAATTCGATTTGGGTTATTGGTATTCTGTTCTCTTAGTGTCTATCTACTCCTTATTGTTGTTAGACTGTGTTTTGGTTAATATTTTTTAATAATAATATTTTTTAATTAAGGAAAACAGGAATTTGAAGAGAACAATGATCTGTGATCATAGTTGATCTATAAGAGTAAATAAATACTTATCAAATGTAAATAAATAATTAAAGGCCTTGTTTACATTTTGGCTATAACCAAGAACCAGTACTTACTTCTAATTTATTATTATTTATTTAATCAAAATAATTCTATTAAAAAAAAATAATAAATGCTATACAATATAAACAACAATATAATAATTAAGTACTTACATTTATACATTCCTTCTTTCACTTCTCCTTTTTATTAAATAGTAATAAATAAATAAATATATTTTTATTTAAATAAATTTAATTATAAGCATTTTGTCAGCCAGTTCAATATTCAATTTGAGCTGAGAAAAACAGGCAAGAATTTTGAGTTCACAAAAAAACTGTGACTATCACAAATTTATATTATGATTTCTATAAAATCCAATAAGTGCTTATTTTAATATGATATTCTTATTTAATATTTTTCAGGTTAAAAATATAACAATGTCAAAGTTGAAAGATACATTCATTAGCCTGGCAACGGCTGGGTACATACAGCAGGCACCTGTGGAAGAAGTCAAAGAGGGCTGTGAGATACCAACATTGGTGCCGGTGGCCACAATTGTTCCAGAGCTTGACACTAGACATCTACTGCATGCTATGACTATGGATATATCTGAAATTACTGACAGTGAGTAAGCAATTTATTTTAAAAACACACAGTACCTAATGTGCTGTGTACAATTTAGATTTCCAAACACACTAATCAAAGTACATGTAAATACTAGTAACAATAATAATAAATTTTTATACATCATAGTAACATACATCTCTGTACAATATAGTGACACACTTTATTTCTATATGAGTAACTGTATCTTTTTGCTCTAGTGTAGCCCTGGTTTTCCTATGAATAAATAAATAAATATCTTACAACTCTAAGAATTAAATCATGACTATTAGACATAGTTCAGTGCAAAAGAGACCTTATTTGGTTTTTTAAATTGTTTTTGGACCATCTGGGTAGCAGAGGATAAACTCTTATTAGTGACACAGTATGAGACATTGCAAATATCCAAAGAAAAGGTAAATTTTGCAAGTGAACTCGACATTCCACACTGTATACAAATATTTACATTATTTTAATAGCATTCCTTTCCAGATACCAATATCTCTCTCCCTTGATTTATTTATTGAATTAATCAGAAACAATATTACAGATGTATATTGGGAGGTGAATTATGATAGGTTCCACTTGGACTTCAGGGATGAGATAATGATCAAAGCTGTCACACGTCGCATAGACGAAAACGGTAAGTTACTGGTATTTGATTTGAGTGAACTTTTGGAATAAAATTTCTATTTGAAACGTCTATTTGAATTAAAAATTATTAAGCATAGATGAAAATGGAGTGGAGACCAGACAATCTGAATGGGCATGGTCAACCTGAGGGGAGGGGTCCCTCTAAACACGCCAATGGTAATTAGTCTAACACTAACAGTCCTTTCCCTCCCATTCTCAGCGATCCCACTCATGCAATTATTTCATTGTGATTGGCTGATAATGATGATTTATTTGTGTAATATTCTAGCGGGAGAAATGTTGCAACACCTACTCAGACTGATGTACTTAACATCAGCACCGTGGGCTCCGGAATCGAACCCCACACCAGTGCTTGAGCTCCGTGAATGTTGTCAACGAGTGGCCGCCGAGAAGCCTCATTTGAATCAACACTTTGATCAGTATCTCAAGGTTTTAGGTAAGTCTTTAACATCTTTCTGCCTTTATCCCAATTTTATTTTAATTTAGTATTCCTTTACACACTCGTGTAGAACTGTATTCTTTAGTACTAATAAGTTAATCAATGTAGTGTACATACATTTCAAGCAAATAAACAATTACATTTCATTATATAAATTCATATATATTAACCAACAACTGGAATTCAGGACAGCACAATGGTTTCCAGGGGGACCACGTGGATCACGGGGTCTACCTGGTAGGGTATATTGTTAGCAATGGGACTGGTAGCCCACATTACTAAGAAACCCCCCCCCCCCCCCCATAGGGTGAGTAAGCTAGAGCCTAAGGCGGTAGATTCGGTATTGAAATTAATGCAATTTAATTCACAATTCAGTTTGAATTGTAGAAATTAGTTAAATTAGAGTAGCTTAATAGCGGCAAAAGTATATATCTGTCACTGCATATCATAACTTTTGATGCGTGTTTCTTGGCACCCCTTGGACATCATCTGCTCAACGGATGTCAGTCAACCTCGCTAAGGCCCTATAGACCATCGATTCTTAAAACGGGTTCTGTAAAAAAGTCACCAGTATTCGAATTTGTAACCGTTAGATAAGGGGTTCCATAAAATAAAAGATGTTTGATGGGCGTGTCGTTATCTTAAAAGTTTAAAATCCCCTGCTCTAGACAAGTGGCATGCGAATTTATTGATGGAATCGACATCGCCAGCGAGTCTCTCCGTCACTAGCGAAGTCGATTCCATCGATGAATTTGCATGCCACTTGTCTGGAGGGCAAGGTCGGTACCGATGAAGACTGAAATTGTGACCTGCGTGTAGAGGAGAACGGTGCCGGGTTCGTGCGACGCTGCGGCGAGGCGGGCGGCGGTCAGTACATGGTGCGGCCGCGCCAAGCTGCGCACGCGCTGCTCCTGTGTACGCTCGAGCACTGCGTCACCGAGCGGCTCGGCTCCAACGCCGCCCGGATATTTAGGTATTTAACTTTTTTTATAGTTCAAAATGACCACATTGCACCTGATAGCAGGTGAACTCTACTTCTTACTAATATTATAAATGTGAAAGTGGGTTTGTTTGTTTCTAACCTCTTGTCGCGTACACAGCTTAACCAGTCACTTTAAAATTTGATATATGCTTCTTATATGGGATGGTGAAAGACAAAGGCTACTTTTTATCCTTGTCATTGAATATATCTTGTGCCTTTTAAAAAAAAGATTGAATGTAACGTCAGTCATCAATTAGGACCTTTTTGTTACGTCATCATTATTTCGCTTGAAAAAAAAAAGATACAGCGATTAGTTTAACAACTTGTCAGCAAGGGTTTTTTTTAATGGGTGATAATAGTATGGTGGTAACCCGTCTGCGCTATCAGTTTACAAAAGCGGGACACCAGTGATGGATGACTAATGAGGATGAAAGCAGGTCAGTTAGCCCATCCTGACGAATTCTACTAGAATTAGCCACGATAGTTCCCAGGGGGAACCATGCGTGGAGGTTGACCTGATAGGGTATATTGTTAGTAATGAGGCTATTTGACCCCATTACTATGTCAGCAAGGGTGGGCTTGTAATGTAATGTAATGTAAGAAAGACTCTGTTTTCCGCACTTAGCCTCTCATTTGGGCCGTTGTAAGGGTGGGCTTATCTCTCTCTCTCTCTCGCGAGATCTCTTCCAGCCAACTCAATGCAGTGTTTATTTCTCTGTTTCAGGTTAATAAATAGTAAAAAATATATAGAGGAGGATGACATACAGAAGCACGCGATGTTGCCCAACAAGGAGTGCAAGGAGCTCACATACAAGTTACTTGAAGAACACTTCATCAGCGTACAGGTTGGTAAATTGCATCATTTTTAGAGCACAATATTTTTTATCCCTTTTTGGCTGATTACGATTTTATATAGAACGTATAAATTCCAGCCTATAATAGGTAACCCATCTTGCAATGAATGTGTCCAAATTTTTCCTTTCTTTATACTATTAGGTTTTGTTACAGGTTTCAAAACTTTGAATAAAGTATATATATATATATATATATATATATATATATATATATATATATATATTTAATATTAATATTTGATTTTAATTTTTCTTAACCAATTTTTATAGCCGATGAGAAAAGCAGCATCAGCGGGTGGCCTGGCAAAAGCAATATATTTATACCACATAAATTTACATGAGGTGAGTGCGAGTACAATGAATGTAAAATACTTCATTTATATTTATTTGCATTGCATAATGTTCCAATAGATGTCAAGTGTTGTCATATTATTGTGGTGAGCATTATGAATTTTGTTAGGGGCAGCAAGTAACAACTGATGAGAGATGAAAAATAAAATAAAAAATCTATCAAGGCAATATTTTTTATAAATAAGTATTTAGAAGACTTTAATATTATTAATGTGCCACCTCCCCTTACTTAGTAATACAGATAGATAGATAGATATTCTTTATTGTTTCCTCCAAAAGATTACAACAATAACAATAACATAAACAATTACAAGAAATAATCACAATGACAAAACAATGGGCGACTTTATCGCTAAAAGCGTTCTCTTCCAGGCAACCTTTTGAATGGAAAGGAGTAATTATAAACTGTATGATTGGAAGCACTATATTATTACTAAATATGGAGACTAATATATCCTTTCAAGTCGACTTTCACGCGGTTCCAGGAGGAACTAATGCGGTTAAACATTGTTAAATTTATCATGATGGGCCAACTGACCTATATCCTCACCTATCATCCTTCGAGTGTATACCGATGGCGCTGGTGGGATCACTATTTCATTTTCACCCATTTATAAAACAGGTTATAAGGTTTGCTCCACATTCATCGTATCTTCGATAGTTTAAATACCTACTAGCGCGAGCAATCAACGCAGACCATCAGCCAAATGTGGCGCAACACATAAGAGTAGATGCAATACGTTATTGCCCATCTTCCGTCCACCGAAGATCGGCGTATTTAAGACCGAACACTTGTTACGAACGAGTAATCAAATTTCCGTTTAGTGTATACAATTTAATCTATTGGTATTTCAACGCGGATGATCGGCGACCGTAGATCGGCGATCGGTGTACTCGTAATGTAGTGTTTTTTTTTTAATAGATGAAAATGGAATGGTAACCTCGCTCGCGCTATCAGTATACTCCGACAAGGCACCAGTGGAAGATGATAGGTAAGAATGAATGCAAGTCAGTTGGCCCACCATGATGATTTCGACTAACCATGATTGTTTCCAGGGGGAACCGCGTGGAAGTCGACCTGAGACGGTCAGTTGCTAGCAACGGGGCTATTAAACCTCATTACTAACAATCCCTTTCCCCCCCGTAATGTAGTGTTCGTCCAAGGTAAAGTACTTCTAAAATAAATGTGTGTGTGCGTACGCGCAGGTGGCGCACACGGCGGCGGAGCTGTGCTACCGCGCGCTGCACAACGTGTGCCGGCGCGCCGCGCACGAGCGCCGCCGCCACGCGCGCCTGCTCGACAAGCAGCGCCGCGTGCGCACCATCGTGCACGGCATGCGCCTGCGCGGCGAGCCGCAGCCCAACATAGACGACGTTAGTCACCTCACAGATACCTCACTTACCTTCATGTAATCACTACCGGTGTGACTTGCATGTAGTTTGGTCGAGAAAGCTCGATTATTTTTGGGACCATCCGAAATCCAAAAAATTTCTCAAATCGGTTAATATATATTATAAACAAAAAGTGGAATATTTTTTCTTCATAATATTAATTTAGACAAAATATTCGATTATTAAAATTTTGACCATAGAAATCAGCCATCAGCCCATGCAGACAACAGAATCTATCGGAAGACACGTTATAGCTACCACACGTTTGAGGTAAAACGAGGAACCGATATCCGGCGTCTTGTTATTTTACATATGAACGCTAGCGAAAGTATATCTATTGTTACTTTCATTTGCCACATTTTTAGGTGCGCTGGACAATATAAATACATTAATAGAGAAAAAATACAAAAGTCGTATGCTTGGTTACTGCTGTTCCACTTCTGTATCTGCGACGATGTGATGACGACGACATGTGTACTGAATTGAAAGAATGGGATATGACAATGTATTTACAAAGTATGGGACATTTCACAACAACAGTTTGTAGATACAATTGGCGTCACAGTGTATATCCATAATGTGGTTCACATCTATAAGTAACGGTTACCACTTTGTATGAAATAAACCGTAAACTCGTTTCCATTCCAAATTTCTATGTTAAAAGTCACTAGCACAAATGAATGGACATGTCGGTAGGGGCCTCCCTAAACGAAAACATGTCGACCAAATAGGCGGCGTGTTGAAGAAGGGCCAAATTAAAAGTGCTCGTTACCGGCGAGCGTGTATGGATTTATGAATATGGGGGAAGTGAAAGAGGTCTGTTTGAATTGAAGCATTTGGCGTTCTATTGTTTCTGCCTACCCTAATGGGAGACAGGCGTGACAAGTATGTATCAAAAGCCACTTGTAAACGTGCGTTTAAAGCAAGTAATTTCAATGTAACCTTAATAATTTTTCACAGGTAGAGGAAACCCTTACGCCGCCTGAGCTAGCTGTACTGACAAGCGTCGAAAAACGTCTAAAACAACTCAGCGCGGCCGAGTTGGAGCTCGATCGAACGCTGTTTATATTAAAATGGTATTTTATGTACCCATAAAGAAATATTATACAGTTTAGCTGCAGTAAAAGTTTAAAAGGGAGACGCCTCTAACAGGAATGCTCTGTACTGGTCTATTGTAACAGACGGGAAAATAAATTATTAATACCTTACCCTCATATTCATGATAGACCTTCTACAAACTTAGCTGTTAGTATTTTTTAAATTAGGAATTTAACTAAAAAAAGAAAATAAAACGTTTGACGTTTTATAAATAAAGAGGTTATTTTCCCGCCGTTATAATATTTTTTTTTATTAATATCTGGCTTCCAGTGATTATTTGTTATGTTGTAATATGATGGCGCCATCTTCGCACTACTTTGTGTAAGCTTCTCTATTATTATAATAGTTTGTACTGAACATTAACGAAAATGTTTGTATTATATATATGATGTAAATGTTTTATATCTGTAAATATGTGTATGACAATGTTATATGTTATTCTATTTAATACTTCTTGTTGCAATCTACCTTATATGTAATATTTAAACTATTTGTATCAAATAAAACGCAAGATACATTCTTAAAATTTTATTTGACCCCATTGAAACTCAATAGCCATTCAAACAATTTACAACCTATTAGTGTCGATGGAATAATTTGTTAATTATAAAATAATTTCAATTATCTACACAAACAGCCGCATGATGACACGAAATCACCAAAATTATAAAAAATGTATACTAATTCTTAAAACATCAACGCAATTACATTTGCGTAATATAATGACGTTACTATAAAGAATTTGTTGGTAATAATAAATATTTACAAAAGGTAAAATCATTAGCAACCTTTTAATGGAGTGTTCTATATGTAAAATTGGATATTTTCCAAAAAAACACGAGTCGAAAGACGACTAAGTTTCCCTTAGTAACGTAACATGTCTAAATGTTATTTTTGGACTGATGTTTATTCTGTAATAATATTCAGTTTCACATTTAGGATACCCCTTTAATAGTATGATATTTATTTTTTACATTAAAAAACAATAGCCGAAAATTTATTCATTTGAAATAAAAATATTAAAAAAAAGCAGAAAATATTACGAGAACAATACCCGCCACTAATCAGGAAATCATCTGAAATGTTAAGTAATCAACATCATTATAATCATTAATGAATATTAACAAGTATATAGTTTATGTACGTAGTTAAACACCTGTTATACAGTGACACCTAATATTTAGTACAGACCGTTGCATGAGTAGACGGTGATCTCATTTGACTTGAGAATTTATTCGAGTATTTTTACAAAAAGATAGAAGTAATTTATTTCACGATAAAATTTTTGTTTGTTTTCTCATTTTTGGTGAAATTCTACAACTAAACATTCTAAACTAAACTAAACATAAATTGAGTGTCCTTTAAAATTTCGTTGTTTAATACTGTTAATGGGCTTTACGTATGATTTTTTAATACTTTAGTTTCATAACTATTAAACGAAATCAACAACAGTTATGGTGTCAAGAGGAAACCTCCAGAAAAACAAAAATAACAATATTAAACCACAGATCCTTAAAATATGGACATGTTAGTAATATTACATACTCATCCTTTCGTAAATCTTTCTTCACGATTGATTGTTTTTTTTTTTTAAATATATTTCTTCCTGGCCCATAGTCATTTCTGCTTTTCGATGTATCCATAGACAAATGTAATATGTCATAGAAAATAGATTCATTAGATTTCAGATTAAGACGACAATGAAAAAGACTATGTACTTATGGTTTTGATGTTTCAATCATATTTAGCTATTTGCCATTTTAGCAGCTTACTATACAAAAGCATTAAAATTTTATATACAATTTTAAAAGTCGTAAAATTTATTTCTATTCGCATATACAAGTCCAGTTCACGCAACGGTCGTAAAGATACCCACTTCAAGCTAGTTATAGACTATTTAATTCGTCTAAATTAAAAAGTTATTGAATATTTACACAATGGTATTCGTCAAGGCTTGATGTCGCTCGCCGTAGCTGGTCGTCTTCATTTAATTCCACGTCTCCAATGATAAAGCTTTGTTTCCACTACGTTCATTCCATACTGTTTAGCTGAAAATTGCCTGAATTGCACTTATTAACTATTTCGACAAGATAACCAGCCGTCAGAATTCTTGTTTAAATCGAGTTTAGACCAGTAAAATTTCCATTTGTTTTGATTACTCAGCAATGATACGGTGTAGTGGAAACGAGGCTTGAGAGATTACGCAAACGGGTGACTTACTTATGGAGTACATTTGTCCGTCAAAATTGATCATTAAATCTTTACTGCATAAATCGCAAGAGATAAAATAATCATCCCTCGTGAGTAGAAGTAGTAAAAAGCAGATGTTTATTCTACTACTAAGGGCTAATGTTAAACATAGTTTTATTTTTAAAGTATTTGTTAGCACTGTATAGTTAGATATTTTTATTTTAAAAACATTATACAATTTTAATTATTGAAAAATATTAACATATTTTTAAAAGCTTAAAACACTAAAGCCTAACTGCGGTTGCCAACCCGCCTGCTAAGCGTGGCAACTACTGGTAAAACCCCCTATGAGGCCTATTTTCAGCAGTGGGCAGTTAACGACTGATATAAATATGATGATTATAAAGAATTCCGAAATTGAAAGTCAACCTACACAAACTAATATGAAAGAATTGAGAAATTAAAGTTTCTAGCTCTTAGCATATTGCATTATTAGAAAAAGATTTGTCGATAATCGACAACCGAATAAAAATCTTAAATAATTTTAATAATTGTTGAAATTAAACAACATTGACCGACATACAAACAACTGTTGAATTTACAAAAGTCCAAAATTTACTTTCACTTGCCTATTCGAAGAAAGTCGTAAATGTTCACATTTAGATAAGTTCCAACCACCCCACCATACGATCGAGTACCAACATAAGTACCAACTATCCATACAATCTGTTTTGACAGACAAAATACTACAACGCCTGTTCCCAGTTTGCGTTAGCTCTTTATAGTGTGCATACACCAATTTCTGTTACATCTTTTACATTTACATTTTTATTCGGCGTTATGATGTATTTTGAAGATATGAAGCTACACTTACCGAGTGGCATCCAAGCCCTGTCCAGAGACACTTAATAATTTGTTCTGGTTAATTTAAAGAGCTATTCTATAGAAATATTAAAATACAGTGAAGACATCGATCTATCTGGCCTACGATATCACCTTAATGCGAACAAATCGACCTACCATTAGTTCAGACTATACATACTTGAGAGGTTTACAAAAGCATCTATTTATTGATTAAACGTTATATTACTTTAATCTCAGAAGTGTCTGAAGCGACATACATTATGTACAAAGGGACTCAATTCATTTACCACGTTCATTCCTATTCACATAATAAAAAAGTAAATTAAAAATATTTAAAAAGCAATATCAAGTCGAATCAGTATGACAAGCGAAACGAAAATGAAACAAAATAAATAATTTGTATTACTTTTATTTATAAACTAGGTATTTTACACAACTTAACAAAATACATACATACAGCAACTAAATAGAGCAACCAAATATAAATCATTCATACGGAGTCGATACGTTCCAATGAGATACAATAGACTGCATCATTCGGCCCTATGTGTCCGTACAGTAGGTCACACCTACTCACCGTAGTGCTCCCAAAAACGGTCGAATGGCAAGATTGTCACAATCAGTCGAGTTCTGTGCCCCGGTACGAGGCCGGAACGGATGGGGCACCGGCCGACATAATGCACCGATCGTTTGCTATTACAGTCCTCTTAATACTGTTAGAAATGTGAAATGTAACCACTGAACATAATGTCCGTGGTGTAAATAAATTTCATTTGTACTATCACTAAATATTTCGCATCGCAACAAAACAATATTGATGACAACTGACTTAAAGACGATCTGGTAAAATTACAACAAAACATATTCAGTCACCCTTAAGTCAAACAAAATATATTTTTATAGCTACGTTATAAAATGCCAAATGAGATTTAGGCTTTCTATGCGTGTATGTGTGATGTAAAATAATATATAAAATAAAAAAGATCTATGATATATTTACAGAAAGTTTGGGGTTCTGGTAACACTATAGATATTGTCGTGTGTGAGTAATACAAAGGAGCATTGGTTTCGAACTGAAGCCGCGTCATATAGCGAACAAATTCATACTGTGCATTCCCTTTTCGTACAGCCGTATACAGAATTGTAAGCGAGACTTGTAAATTTACAGAATTACACTAGTGCGTTATAAACTAAAATTTATACGGCCTCCAATGCATGTGTAAGTAGACAGTCGCCGTGTTCATGGAAATACATTGGTTTCCATATTGTTTATTATGCGTTGATACCACAGTCCATATTTCCATTACGATTACAAGCTACATCTAGCGCAGTAAATAGTATTTTTAAATAATAATATATAAAAAAAAAAGATCCCAATATATTGCAAGAACTTATCACAAAACGATATAGCCCCGAAAACGTGTCCTTAATGAATTATCCAATTTAATATACTATTTACAGCAAATGAGAGCAGTTTGCGCTCCTTCGTTTTTACTACTTAATTTGTCATTTTAAATTTTATAAATATCTCCATAGTAACGTTATATAAATTCATATGATGGCCTAAATTATAATACTAAGGATTTGTAGCCGCCGTGAGACGGGCAGAAGATTAGCAATCCGAGACACGTCCGAACTACATTCGTAATCACGTCTCGGCCCACGTTACTGGCGACGTACCTATTCGTCTTATCCCGATTACCTACTAATTTAACATATCCCGGCAGCATGGTACCTATCGATCTATGTAACATACGGCGGTGAGTTATACAATTTCGCTTATAAAGCTATCCAGAATTTTGAAATGAAACAGTGACGACTATTTATCTATAGAAGACTTGCGATATTTTCAAACAAAGCATACGACGCAGATAGTCATACTCTTAGTGTGCGTTTACAATTGAAAGTTTTTATACATTTTTGTGCAATTTCATGATAATAAAAATTGACATTAAATTAGTTATTGATTCTACACTTTTATTTGTCTAGTTCGTTTCGCGTTCTTCATTTAAAAACATCACAAGGTGTCGCTTGTGGGCGCCGGTCTCCACTCTACATCACTGAACACATTGAGTCCGTTCGGCCGGTCGGCTGTCTCACTCACTCCCCCCGGTGCGCATATCTCCGTCTTGTTCACGCCACGCGGTAAGGTATTACAATATGCAGCACGACGCTGAACAACAACTGCTGGAGCCGCCTTTACTCTTTTGTCGTTGATCTGAAAAACAATTATGATAATTATTTCATATGCCATCATAAATATAATAAGCACAAGAATCTACATTTAACTTCACCTGAGAACCTTTACAGGTAAGCAGAGATAATAGTGGACTGTAATTTTTTTTTTCATAAATACACAATATTTTTTATTCATTCCAGTTATCATCATCACCAATCCCTAGAACTGTATTTCCAGGATAGTAGCAACCATACATATTCATAGCTTCAAGTCCCAGGAATAAAATTAAAGCTATCTTAAAAATCCTACAATATATTTAAACACAAGGAAAACAATTTGCTGTTTATACGTCATTGTACTAATGTTATAAATGAAAAAGTGTGTAAACTTGTTTGTTAGTTTATTACTCGATCACGCTAAAATAGTTAAATGAAATTTGATGCACAGGTATGTTATGTAGGCTAACTGATAATACCTAGGATATTTTATGTACTGTTCAAGCGGGTAAATCCGCTGGAAAAAGTTAGTTAATTATAATTAGTACTAAGTACCTATATTACATATATATTTATCACAATTTAAGGCAAAATATTAAACTTACAATAGTGAGGAGGAAGGATAGGATAGGTTTTTGGAATATGTTAACTCCACCGAACTTCTGCAAAGCAATAATTACATTTATTTATAAGGGAGTGTAAAAATGCAGGAGCATTGACAACCATTCCTGAATATTACAACGCGTTTATTTCACGAAATTTTACAGAGGGAGACTTTGTACAAAAGTCGATTGCATGAGTACCTCTGTCCCATTCGGGTTTCAACCGTGAAGCAGTTGTGTTTGCATGGCACCCTTCGGTTTGAAGGGTGGGACATGGCGTGAATTTACAGGGTACAGAGGAATAACACCTGAGTCCTCAGGAATGGCAACGCATGGGGGGTATCATGGGCGAAACAGTATACTCTGTTATGTCCATGGTACTGCTCATGTCTATAGGCGACGATTACCACTTTCCATCAGGTGGGCCGTCAGCTTGTTTGTCATTCTAAGTTGTATAAAAAAAAAAGAAAAACATAGTCATCAACGTATCAGCTGCTAATTGTCCACTGCTAAACACACGCTTTTGAAAGGGTTTTACCAGTAATTGTCACGCTTGGAAACCGAAAAGACAATAATCCTGAAAAAAATGAATATAGGACTAATACAGGACCTTTCAAACCCAATTGGTTGGTTTATAAGAATTATTTTGTTTCATTTTGCTACCGCATCGCTGATGATTAGTTATCAATCATAAGGTTCCAATTAATAGCAAGTGGGGGGAAAGGGATTGTTAGTAATGGAGACTAAAAATCCCATTGCTAGCAATATATCCAACCAGGTAGACCTCCTCGCGGTTCCCCCTGGAAACTATCATGGTTAATTCCTGATGAATTCATCATGATGGGCTAACTGGCCTGTTTTTATTCTCATCTATCACCCTTCACTGGTGCTCCGCCAGCGTATTCCGTTAGCGCAGGCGGGGTTACCATACCATTTTCACACATAAAAAAAAACCTTATGGTTCCATTCAAGTATAGATGAGACTCGATTATACACACTAATTGTTGTTCTTTAGGATAATCGAAAATCCGGATAATTCAATGTGTAAACAACTTTTGAATGAGGTGAAAAATGTGTCCGCAAAATTTACTTATGGGCGTAAAACTTCTGGTCAACCTTCTAACGTCGGCAGTCACACATATACTAATTTGTAGCGGAATTAAACAAAATAATTTTAATCAAATAACCAGTGATATAGACATCCGCAAGATAACACCTAGTTCATTAAAATATTTTAAAAGATTTTTTTAATTTATTAACTGAAAGATATTGCGTTATATCGCTCGCAAACAAAATAGTTTTAGCTATGTGAAACGTATGTAAACGTAGGTAACGTTGGTAATACTTAATAAAAAATAAAATATATCCATTTTTAAGTTGCTTTAACATTACACGCTAGTGGCGATTTGAATAATCGCAGATTTGTATAACTAAATTTCGGATAATATAGTTTCCACTGTAGCACAGATAATATAATACTAGACTGTAGTATCTTGTTAAGTGTACGCACCGTGCGAGTTGGGCTCGGGCAAGTGTTCGCGCGGCACGAGGTGCATGACGGTGGTGCGGCCGAGCTGGAGCCCCAGGGCGCCGAGTGTCACCGAGCTGTGCAGGAACCGGCCCTGGTATATCAGCCGGAGGATTTCCGCGCGGGACACGCACTCCGCCGCCCAGTCCGCTGTAATACACATTTTTAATTATTATTATATGATTGAAAATAAAAAAATAAAATAAAAAACACTAAAATTAAAAAATATTGATCCTTACTAATCTTATACATGTGAAAGTGAGTTTTCCGTTACCTCTTAGTGCCTTAACGGTTCGATCAATCGTGATGAAATTTCGCATAGTATTTAGAGTAGATATAGGTAACATCTTATCCTGGTCAATCAATATATCCTGGACGAAGTCGCAATTAAAAACTAGTATTGTATTATTTCTTGAATTATCTCGAAGGGATTGTTAGTAATGGAGTCTAACAGCCTCATTGCTAGCAATATACCCCACCAGGTCGGCCTCCACGCGGCTCCCATCGGAAACCATCGAGGTTTATTTATATTAAATTTGTCACGATCGGTCAACTGAACTGTTTCTATCCTCACCTATCATTCTACACTGATAAGGTTACCATTCCATTTTTACCCAATAACAAATGTAGATTTTCATTTTTCCTCAATCCTTTCCTTCCGACTCCAAATAATTGAAATAAAGGTAGAAAGATGATGACGCGTTTATAATTTAAATTGTTTCTATACATTTTTTAAGGTCCAATCCTTTATATTTTTCTTTTTAATTTAAATTTGTAACGCTCTACACATTCAAAACATTTTATGTTGTTTGTAAGTACTTTAAATTAATAAAATAGTAATAGCATTTGATTAGTTATACAGCAAATAATAATATATTGTGACAATATAGATTAAATTGAACCCAGTTTAAAATCAATAGACATTTTAAAAATTAAAACAATAAAAAATATTAAAAAAAGGAATCAATTGCCCCCAGAGAGATTTGAACTCTCGACCCCTGGTTTACAAGACCAGTGCTCTAACCCCTGAGCTATGGAGGCTCATGACTGTGGTGTCGTAAATGTGGATTGCTATCGACGGCGAATTGCTTTACACACACTACTGTACTTCTTTATAAACACTAATACGTACAGATAACTTCTGTGTTGACGTATAGATGGAGCCACTTGTATACAAATTAATAAAATTACAATTATCATAAATATTTCTATAATATTAATAAATTTGTTATTTATCTAATCACACTCTTCATTTATATTTTTATTGTACAAAATTTTTAATATTATAGTTACATACCTATTTCTTCTTTTATATAGGTATATTCATAAATTTAAGAAGCAAATCTACTTAATAAATATATTTAATATAATAATTATTTAATAAAACAAACATTATAGCACATAATATATAAAGTTATATCATTAAGCAGGTGTTTCTAAACAACAATTCAAGTTGCAGTGGTCTATCGGTGGCTATCACAAGATTTGTGGAAAATGTATTGCGTGATTCCGTTACAGTGGTCTCACTTACAAATGGTACTAAGTGGAAATTACTAAATGAACTTTGTTCCCACTGAAGTTAAGACTCGGAATCGTCCTACAATATTTTTGTAGGGCAAGCACTAACGCGGCGCGCCGCAGCAAGCTTGTACAACAAACTAGTAAATCACTCGACGACCGCTAGACGGCAGCACTGCCGTAACTTCAAACTAATATACGAGGACAATAATTTTGGTGGAAACTCGGCATCGCTGCACGTTGTAATTCGATTTTAATTCTAGTGTATCTACGTTATTTATTATTTGAGTTTACATTGCAAATTAGTTTTTATCTGCACTCTGTCACACATCTATTGGCCTTAATTTGCGAGGGAAGGCAAATGTAACATTACATTTTGTGATATTCTTGTAAATGATATTCTTGTATTCGTGTGAATATTGTCATATTCAAAATTTACCATGTCGTAGGCATACCAAGGAAAAAAAGCGTGGGTATCGCTGTCCCATTATTCGTGTTCTGCTACCAAGCTACTGTAGTCAGATGGCTGTTTCGTAGTTGCTAGCAATAAAACCTATCAGATCGACCTCCAAGCGGTTCCTCTAATACGCGGTTGACTAACTTATCGTTGAATTTGGTACGATAGATTAACTGACTCGTCTTTTCATTCTCACCAATCATCCCTCACTGATGCCCCGCTAGTTTATACTGATAACGCAGGCTGGGTTATCATTACATTATCATCCGTTAAAAAAAGCGAGACTTTGTACAAAAGTCGATTGCTTGGGTACCTCTGTCCCATTCGTGTTTCAACCGTAAATCAGTTGTGTTTGCATGGCTGTGTTTCGGTTTGAAGAGTGGGATATGGCGTGACTTTACTGGGTACAGAGGAATAACACCTGAGTCCTCAGGAAAGGTAACGCATGGGGGTATCATGGGAGAAACAGTATAATCTGTTATGTCCATGGTACTGCTAATGTCTATAGGCGACGGTTGCCACTTTCCATCAGGTGGGCTGTCAGCTTGTTTGCCATTCTAAGTTGTATAGTATATATATACTATAGGTAGATGCTCATTTTATCGAGTGCAATTTTACTGACTGACGATTACAAATCATTTCACTTGTACACATTAAAGTTTTGCAAACATCGTTACGTCTACAATGCCGTGTTGTGATCATCGTCGTTATCAATTGTTGATATTAACACCTTAGTACACTTTATTCACAAGAAACAAATTCAAGTTTTAATCATAATTGGAACAGGACACATTTCAATAAAAAAAAAAAAAACATCATAATCGGATCAGAATCAATAAAGAAATTTTTGAAGATGGTTAAACATACAATTGTGTTGGCTTTGCTCACGTTTGCTTATGATACAGCCGTGACCGCGTTCATAAATAAGGGCTCCTATTGAGTAACTAATCGGGCATCTTCGAATTTAAAACGTGAGTAAATAATTATAATAATAAATATTATTGCAAATTATATTCGTACGAATACTACATTCGTTTCTTTCGTTACAACTTACACGTAGACCGCAAGACTTAAATTCTAACCACATAATGCCGAGTGAGGTAGCGACATGGGGTAACCAGAGGCACCAATTAACTCCTACTGTTGTAGTGAACGTAACACTGAACTTGACCACATTTCGTCAAGGATATCTGAATCAACGTTAGGCAAAAACGTGACCCTCAGTATAACCTCAATTGTGTACAAGATCGTCCAATTATTTTTAACACTTACCAACCACTTCTACTCTAATATTTCGGGCCAACCGTATCAGATAGCGAGGACGGGATTTACAGTTATCTATGTATCTCGTTTAGAGGCGAAACGTGTCGCAAAACGTGTGTGAACAAAAGAGCAATCGGAGATCGATGACTAATTTATATAACCTTCCATAGGTTATAGAACGTCTGATAGTAACAGTGGTATTCAATCTTCGAGTGTTGGCAGTCACAGAATAAAACAAAATAATTATAATCAAATATCCAGTGATATGGACTTCCGCAAGATAACATCTAGTTCAGTAAATTAATAATCTATGCGTCTTCCTAATAATAATCTATGAGTGGATGCAAGTGGATCAGTATCATGCCTGGTGGAAGTCTGTTTGTGGAGACCTATGTTTTACAATTTAGTAATGGAAAATTACAATTACTGACATAAATGGTGAGAGATGATGCAACTACTATGAAAACTAAGCATGCCAATTACGAGATATTATATAATCCGTCGTGCCACTAATAAATCTTTTCAAAAACAATATTATGTAATGCTATTTTCTTCAATTCTATAAACATTTTTCAATAAAGATTTGTTATAGAAAATCTGTATAACGAGAGTATAAGAATATACCACCAGTTTTCATCCCTACAATATTACAAGAGCTGACTAAAGGAAATAACTAAAGAATGAGCTAAAGGAAGAAAACACTCGTGGTAAGAGAAAGATAATTCGACATAAAACTTATAACAAGCCGCCTAAGCAGTATGATAATAGTAGGCTTAGATCCTCAGCGTAGAGATCAAATTGATAAGTTTGTTATGTTTAATTTGTAAACTCTGAATCTAAATTTAATCGAAAGCAAACAAAATCGATACACAAAATGTATGTATTGCTATATATTTAGTCGACGCCTTTGGTTTCGAGTATCTCACCGTAAAAGTAATTAATCGTTAAGTATTTATTAAAATGATACGTAAAGATGGTACCATAAAGGTGCGGTCAGCAAATGTTACACCATAACTGACCTCGCGTAACGTTACGCAGCTAACGAGGGCGCTTTACACACGGTAATGGCTTTTTTTTTTCCACACCACGTCGACCGCGATATCACACGAGCCTGCAATATATTAGCGTGTGTAGTTTGCAATTAATACGATTTTATCGGCAAGGACCGTTTTGACATGAAGTTAGGGCAGTAATTAATAACTAGGTATTATGGTGGAAATTACGGCTAATGTTAAAATAGGAATTATAGTCTTACGCGGACCAGGCAAACGTTTTGACCTCTACCGCCATCTACCGGTTCTATTTATCTTGTAGGGATAAAAAATATTAATCTTTCAAGTTGGAGTAATCTCAAATTAAAGATAAAAAAGAGTTGAAGCAATCGATACACAATTACAAAATTACATTAAAATCTGTTATTTCGGAGATTGGCGTCAACGAATATTTTGATACAGGATTTTTAAATTATAAAGTAGATATATGATGCGTAGACGAAATTTTTTATTAAATATCTCTAGTTCATAATGTATTCGCTGAAATATACATATGTGACTGATGTGAAATTACCGCCTAGCAAAAGTACACAGATAATTTTTTTTATGATACATCAAAAATTTTAAAAACATTATGATTTAATCAGAGCTTATTAGATCAGACGAAAATTAACTTTTAAATTTGTATTAATCAATCAAAAACGCCATACTGTTCTTGATTGACGAATTTTTAAATGACATAAAAATAGAATCAACCTGGCGAATTGGATGGCGTGAACTGTTACAAATTTAAGCAAAGAAGTAATTAAAATATAATATTTAATTAAATTAAACCAGCTTGATAGACATATTGACACTAATAAAATTATAAACAACTCTACTATAATTTGTTCTTGCCAAACATATGTGCGCATCTGTAT